TATATACATATGTATGTATATATATATATGTTTATGTGTGTGTATATATACTTATATATAAGTGTACATTATATATAAGTATATCAGAATATAAGTGTATATATAAGTATATATATAGGCCTATATAAGTATATATGTAAGTATGTGTATATATGTATATATATAAGTATGTATATATAAATATATATACGTATATATATATATAGGCCTATATAAGTATATATGTAAGTATGTGTATATATGTATATATATAAGTATGTATATATGTATGTGTATGTATATATATATATGTATATATATAAGTATGTATATATATATAAGTATGTATATGTGTGTATATATGTAGATATATAAGTATGTATATATATAAGTATGTATATATATATATAAGTATGTATATTATGTATATATACGTATATATGTCTATATATTATGTATATATATATGTATATATGTGTGTATATATACATAAGTATGTATATATGTTAATTATAATGCATATACGATATGTATGTATATATATATAAATAATATATATATAATATATAATATATATATACACATACATATATACATTATAACATATATATACTTATATATATACATATATAAGTATATATATGTATTTATAAAAGTATGTATATATGTTATAATGTATATTATACTATATACTATATATTGGAACGATATCGGAAGTGGGGGTGCTGGCAGTGGCCTGCTATTAGGACTACAATTTATTTGAAAATATCTTGGGTCCGATTGTCCACACCAGTTGGGCCCAATCGTCTATCACCCGAAGTTTTCATTACGATTATCAAAAACGTACACGATCTATGCCCTGGGCTAGGCTTAGCTTGCTGTCATCACTCTGCTACGTATACTACACTACAACCGCATAACAAAGAAAGCGACCCACGTGGTGCATTCTTAAATATTACACACATTATATATTATTAGTGCAGGCGCAGAGTTTTTCAAGACATTGTGGACCATCCAAAACTTTCTCCAAGTTTGATTTAGATTTATGATTTTAAATTTATTAAATTATTAATTATTATTATTTTTTTTTTTTAGTCGTTATGTACCCGACAGTCGGCTGCCTTTATATTTTCACCTGTTTTCAGTTTGCATTCAAAGGGTACATTGCTGCACAGCCAACTGTCGGGGATATAGTACCTTCATATGACTACTCATACGTATACAACAGAAAAAAACGTCGCATGGACTATTAGTGAAAAATGGAGATCTAAATGAAGAAACGATGCATTTCAGCAAGTATTAAAACATTTTAGTTTTATTTTAGGCCTTCTTCAAAATACCTATGCCTACAGCAGATGATTTTTTTGCAGTAAAACCAAAATAGTTTCATCCATGCCGACATTCCGGTCGGTTAGCGTGAGCCCAGACTGAATTCTGCAGAAACTTCACATCGATTTTCGCATCGTGATGTAAAACAAAATGTCGGAAAACTTTTCTTTGACGCATGCGCATTTGCATAAATGTCTACACACACATACACACTACACACAATAAAAAACATAGGAAATAGCAAGAGTGATTACAATAGTTCCTATTGCATTACATGCATAGGAACTAAAAAATGTGACATCTATTGCTAATGTTCCCAAGAAAATATTATTATGCTAAGAGTGCAAAGGTCAATCAGTCCAGAATTCTTGTGACTTTCTTATTTTTGCAGGTAGAAACAAAATTGGAGCTTGTATAGGAGTGGTAGTTACAGTCGGATCATAGGGATGTATTTCAAAATTAGGAGGTCTAAGAGAATCTTTTGCAGAGATTTAGGGCTGCCCAAGGCATATGGAATGGAAAGATTACAGCTACAGCTACAAGGAAATTTGCTATTATTATTAGGAAGGATCCTAATACTGTATGTTGAATGCAGATAAGGCAAAGTTTAGACAAGAACATCATAAAAGGGTAGATATTCATGTGACCTCAACTTTGACATAATATCTTTCACACTTGGAATTCCAAATGCCCTTTGGTACTAAGATACATTACAGTTAGCCGTTCAATTATGTATCACTTTTTGTATCAAGACCTTTTAACTTAGCAAATACCCTTTTTAAACAATTGATGAGATGTACTGTTTCACAACCAATGCTTCAAACAGTGAGGTGATTAAACAAAAGAACAATAGATAAATGTTTCACAACCAATACTTCAAACAGTGAGGTGATTAAACAAAAGAACAATAGATAAAAGTATATAATTTTTTGATAACATATTTTTTTTTGATAACATATTTTTTTTAAATCAAAAGCTACTTACAACCAGTTCACTGAATTTTGCATTGAGTTCTTCCATCGATGGTATTGGCTCTGTATTCTCCATCTGATGAAGAGACATTCCATTTTCTGTGTCATATTTGATTTCAGGTGTATTTCGCTTAAAACAGCACAACATCTTGCTTTGTTACAAATTATTCAACCTGTAAGAAAATCATTGAAGTGGATCACATAAATGATTATTAATTTATTCCACTTTAGATAATTTGTTTTTATATTTAATGGCTTCCACACATTAGGGACAAAAACAATTTTGTATTTTGCTACAGCCAAATATCACCTTGGGTTATTTGCTAGTGCATTTAAAGTACTCAAAGTAAAATACATGATAGAGTTAATACAAAATTATCTGCTAACTATTTACAGTAATAAAAAAATATTTAAAAAAAAACATATCCCAATTTTCTTCTTTTTTTTTTAATACAATAGAAGACATATGGGTGAGGAGGGTGATAAACATCATTTTCTTTATTGGCCTTAACTATGGCATAATTCTGCCACAGGCCGTTTATTGGCCTTAACTATGGCATAATTCTGCCATAAGCCGTTTATTGGTCTTACTATGGCATAATTTTGCCATAGGCCGTTTATAGGCCTTAACTATGGCATAATTCTGCCATAGGCCATTTATTGGCCTTAAATATGGCATAAATCTGCCATAGGCCGTTTATGGGCCTTAACTATGGCATAATTCTGCCATAGGCCGTTTACTGGTCTTACCGTAACTATGGCATAATTCTGCCATAGGCCGTTTATTGGTCTTACCGTAACTATGGAATAATTCTGCCATAGGCCGTTTATTGGCCTTAACTATGGCATAATTCTGCCATAGGCTGTATATTGGTCTTACTATGGCATAATTTTGCCATAGGCCATTTATTGGCCTTAACTATGGCATAATTCTGCCATAGGCTGTTTATTGGCCTTAAATATGGCATAATTCTGCCATAGGCCGTTTATGGGCCTTAACTATAGCATAATTCTGCCATAGGCCGTTTATTGGCTTAACTATGGCATAATTCTGCCATAGGCCGTTTATTGGCCTTAACTATGGCATAATTCTGCCATAGGCCATTTATTGGCCTTAACTATGGCATAATTCTGAGATAGGCCAAGAAAATGTAGTGTAATCTCTATTACATTTTTTTCAATTTAAAATGTAAAATTTCTTGGTCTTAAACTGTAATTTTTTTGCCAATGTTGTGCAAAAAACAAATATATAAATGAAATGCAATAAAATTTTACAGATCTTCCCGAATAGAACACAGAGTCCCATTTTTGCTGACCATCTTATAGCAGGATTATGCTGTCAGTGACAATAAGAAATGTTTGATTACAAGAACAGTGTGACAATACGGCGGATTTACAACTCCTTACTATGTCCTTTGCACAACATAGATTTGGCACAAACCACATCCTGTGGTTCACATGACAAGAAATCTAATTAATCACATGCACATATAACTGAACATATGTGATGTCATCACATCGACCGTTTTCAGTTGAAAAGTCATTAATATATTGCGCTCATACCCAGGTTACACATTCAGGGTTGTAGCTGTAGAAAAGTAAAGGGTGAGTGGTAGACATTTTAAGTGTGGGTACTGTAGTTGATAACATTAACATTGGTAAACTCTGGATTTTAAGAATGGGCAAGGTGCCCACAAAGGCAGGTAGAGGGCCATGAAATTAGCTTTACACCGGGTGGAAAACTTCAAGGCTGGTCCCGCCCAAGATAACTACATCTCTGCAAGTCATAGATGGCGGTCAACTGTATGATAAATCAAACCCCAATTCTAAATCTTAGCAAATAGTCTAGGTCATAGCCATAGTGCATAGGTCACAACCACTGTTATTAATTAAAGAAAGCTGGTGTGGTATTTATAATGTAGATTTATTATAATACTGTATAATAGGATGTAGGCTTAAAATGTTGATGTACAATAAATTGTGATATACACCTGTTAATGGGGCACCTACTATTATTATTAATCTAATAACTATTCAATAAAAATAAATAATACAAAAATTATAAAATTGCACAATAATACCCAAAATTACAAATTTATATAAAATATTTTTCAACACATATTTAATTTTGAAATTTGATTCCTTTTTCTAATAAAGTAAATGTAAAACATACATTAGATACTGAATAGTTTATCAGGGAAGATATAAAAAAAAACGAAATATTAGAATTTATTAATCTAATTTCAAGAATTATACAGTACATACAATGAAGTACACTCTATTTAAACAGCCAGATAAAAAAAAAAATGTGCAAAAATTACTACCACTAGGAAACACTTCCTAGTGGTATCAACATATGGCAAATCCAATACTTTGAATCAATACGAAAATTAAATAGTAAACACACTGAAGCTCTGGTTTCAGATAAACATGAAAATACAATTTTTTAATTCAAAACAAACAGCATAAATTAAACATAATTATACGTCAATTATAGACGCCAGTAAGTTTTGGATATCAGATAGAAGGTATTCCAAAAGACGATGAGAACCACAATGGTTCTGTGTATAGTAATTAAGGAGGTCTGCCACCCCTAGCAAGTCACAACGACGAAGAAGTGGCAACACTTGTTCTCCCTATACCTATTATTTAGATTTCAAATCCATCACAATCAAATCAGTTAATAATATGTCAGCACATATGATACACGGTATTATCATTATTTCAAAATTTGATTTCATGTACCCAGTGTTCAAGTTTGCTTGCTAAAAAATTTAACACAACTGATGAAAATACAGTATGGCAAGAATGTCATGGTTCCTACTCTATATTATAGGAAGAATGAAAGGACTGCTCACATTAATAATATCACATTATTTTACCATACTCACATCAATCAATCAAACTCCAACACTTACTGTAGATACCACCCAATGTATCATTCAACAAATTACAAAACAAAGGTTTTTTTTTAGAATTGTACACTAGAGCCTGAAGGTTTTGAACTTGCACACTAATCGAGTGTGAACCTGCTGCATCAACAATGAGTATGTAAATCCACAGATAAAAATAGATTATGACTCATGCTATGTCTGCAAAGGAACTCAAGATTTTTATTAGCAAACATCGATATGGTTCAAAAGGAATAACTATACAAATTTATTTTATCATTAAAAAGCAAATTTTATTCATACCAGACTTTCGTAAAGGCCACTTGCCTATGCTACATAGCGGTGGCTCCAGAAATTTGCCGACAAGGGGTCCGACATGTCCAAACCAAGGGGCTGACTACTGACTAGAGCCTCTGTCAGGGTGCTGGAATAAAAGAATCCCTGTAGGGAATTGTGCTTTGAGACCACAAAATTAGGAATTGGCAATCAAAATAACGTTACTTGGATATTAAATTATTTTTTTTATTCTTTAAATCGACGACCATGTCGTGGTGTCGGTTAACAAGGGGATCCAGTTGTGTCAAACGGGAGGGTAAATTCCCCCCCCCCCATCCATGTCAAAATAGACCGGTATCTAGGTGACCTTAGTTCGGTTTACGTACAGATATGAAGATGAGTCAGCCCAGACAGGACCTAAGCCAACTTTAAAGTCTGACTAATTTTAGGTCTCCTTTGGGCCGGCTAAAAATTTATTGATTGTTCACATTTCAAAAGAGGTAGAACTTAGCTGACTAATGTCAGAGACTTAAGAGCCCAATCATACTTATTAGGCCGGCCTAGGGCCAGCCCAGGGTCGCCTTAAATTACGGCCGACTCAGGGCCGACTCAACTTCATTTCTGTTCACAGGTATAGTTTTAAGTTGTTTTAAGTCGGCCCAGAGCCGCCTTACGGACGTTCACACTTCTTCTTTTGGGCCGGGTTGATGAATTGCTGGACAGAAAGTTGAGGCGATCGCATTTTGATGGCAGAACGGTTAATCACAACCTAGCATAAACACATGGAATTCGCACGAAACATGAACCTAATTTCAAAAATTGTCCTTATACTTTTTCGATTTTTAAGCGGATGGCATTCTGCTTCATGATTATGGCGACGATAATTCTTATAATAACTAAGGCCTATAATTAACGCAGCTCGACTTTACTCTGTCCAAAGCCAAACTCGCGATATCGAAATTCCATACCTGTATATTGTAAAATGTCTATATAAGCCTATATTGCTGTCAATGTTTGGCCACAGACCGGAGACACTGACTGTGAATAAGTAGCATCGAGATCTATCTATTTGGCAATAATAATTATTTTCATATTAGGTTCATTCACAAACAATTTTTGACGCTTTTTAGAACCAGCTTCGCTCATAATAAAAACAAACGATTATGTTTTTTTCTGTCCTCGCGGTCGACACAAAACGCACATGGTTGGTGAGGATGACATCAACGAGTATTAATAGAACAAGAGAGCAAAGTCCTGTTCATAAAAACATCACGCCTGTGTAGGACGCCCACTAACGGTTGTATATTCTTTTTATTACCCAGTGCAGCGCTGCACAGCGCGGTAGAAGTACGCCCGCTATAAACTCAGTAAGCAGAAAACAAAAGTACAGTATTTTGTGGAGAACAGATAAACAGATAAACCGACCGTGCGCGGTGGAGTACTGGGTAATAAAACACATACAAGCGTTAGCTGGCGTCCTACACTAGCTGCGTATGGGTGTTTCGTTTTTTTACGCTCTCAATGAGCGTTGTTGGCTCTCTTGTTCTATTTATACTCTTTGATGACGTTCACAGAAAAAATGATACCGCTATACAGTGTTGTAATTTTAGAATATAAACTTGTTAAATTAATGTGTGCTATACAAAAATTGGGTTTCTTGAGCTTGTAATAGGCCAATATATTTTGTATCTACTGGAATTCTTTAACTGTAGAAAGGAAAGTCTTCATCTGTTAAACTGCCATGCGTAAGCTTTGTATCACGTGGTATTCCCCATGCCTACAACTTGGTTTGTGATGATGCTTATGCTTCGCACGGAGGCTGTGAGTAATAATTAGTTAGGCATGGAGACCTTATATAAAAACTTTATTCAAAAACAATTTAGTTCAACTAAATTCAAATTACTTTACAGTTTCCTTAACAATTCAGGAATCAGGTGCGATCCATGGACTGCGGGTATGTAGCCGAGGTCGAATATCTTCTGCAATGACTTATGGTTAAAACATTA